GCCAATTGACGGGCTCCAAACGTGAGATAAACTGTTCACTCAACAGGGCCATTGTTTCGTATGCGGTGTGGCATGTGGCACCGTCTTGTTGAAACCACATGTCAACCAAGTCCAGCTCTTCCATTTTGGGCAAAAAAAGTTTGTTATCATCGCACGGTAGCGCTCGCCATTCACAGTTACGTTCCGGTCATTGTCGTCTTTGAAGAAGTACCGCCCGATGATGCCACCGGCCCATAATCCACACCAAACAGCGATTTTTTCGGGATGCATTGGTAGCTCTTGCAATGCTTCTGGCTGGTCTTCACTCCAGATGCGGCAATTTTGCTTGTTAACGTATCCATTCAACCAGAAATGAGCTTCGTCGCTGAACACAATTTTCAGATAAAAATGCGGATCTTCTTCCAACTTTGCCAGCGCCCCTTCACCAAATGGGAAACATTGTGGAAGGTCGTGTGGCCCAATTGCTGCGAACGGCGGCGAATGGACATTTCACGGTCATCACCAACACTGGCGCATACAGCCGCAATATTTTCTTCAGTCCTCACTCCATGTCTGCGTGTTGGTGGTTTAATGTTCAATAATGTAAACTGGGTTCGAAATTTAGTCACAAGCTTCCGAATAGCTCCCTCAGTAGGCCGATCAAATTGCCCATAAATTGGAAGCGTTGCTCGATGCACTTTCTTAACCGAGCATGAATTTTGATAGTAAAATGCAATAATTTGCAAGCGTTGTTCATTCGTAAGTCGATTCATGGTTAAATTATAGACCGAACAGAACAAGTTCGACAATGACACAAGACACGATTCACGCGTCATCTGTCAGAAACAGTGTTGCCAAAAAGATACTAGCAAAAAAATCATCCATTAGTAGTGTACAAATACATTTTTGAATTTTGCGTTTGATTCTAAACACATTTCATGTACAGCTTCCTATACCGTTATTGAAATATCTGCGTAAAAATGGCAAACGCAAGCATATGAACTGTAACAATTTCTTGTCGTAGTTTTGCATCTTCTCTACGAGGTTTGCATAGCAGAGGACGCACTTTAGTTGATTTTATTCTAGATTCCAGGGGGTAAAAATTCATATGATTTTGTCTCTTAAATCGCTCTTTGCCTCGAGACCGCAAGGATCAGTGCTTGGACCACTGCTATTCATTTTATATACGAGGCCTTGCACAAAAATGTTCGGACATCATCTAATTTTATCTAGAAGTCTGTTTATTTTTGTAAGGTTAAAAATCAATTTAATATATGTCCAAACAATATATTTCAATGTCTTATAAAAAAAAAATATTTTGTAACTGTGAAAAATTAACAAACTTTAAAATAAAATTAGTTATTGTCGAAACTATTTGGTGTTAGGACTCGTATCTCTTATCTACAAGCCACTGTAGGAGATTGCAGTTTTCGGTTCTTTTCCAAAGATTCTCAAATAAGTCATCATTTTCGTAGATACAGCATTCAAGCAGCCAAATCAGAGGTCTTAAATCTATTAATGTGCGCGAAGCCATAACCTTTAGTTAAAACTCTCAAAATCAAAAATCATTAATTTTTTCACCATAACCTTTTAGAAGCCATATTAAGAATTAATTATTTGCCGTTATTTCAGTCGTGCTTAATGTACTTTTTAAAAACGTACCTTCATCGTAATAAACATTGAAAATCAAATTAATTTTGTGTAACGTTGTCTGCTTCTGCTAATTAGCAATTTTAAAGATACACTAAGGCCCAATTTCACCAACATTAATATTATGAACCATTGGGAAAATGCCTTATCGAAATGCCATTTGACAGAAGCTGTCAAAGGTCTCTGAATATTAGTGATTCCTATTGAAATATTGAATAAGATCGTGAACATTCGACTGTATTATAAACAAGACCACTTTTTGATTCCAACATGATGCTTTTGTACAAAAAAAACAGGACAACTTCCATCTATTTTGATATATGTTATAGGTTTACATTTAACAATTCGTTATCCCCCTCAGCGAAAGGGAATGCGGCAAATAATAGGTCGATTTTATAACTGTTAAATTTGGCGGCAGATTTGGACGTTTGGAACTTTCTCCACAGGGACCAGGAGGGTGAAACGGGATATTAATGCACAATCTGGCAACCCTGTCGCACCCTCACAAAATGGCCGCTGACAACCACACAAGTCACCGTGTTGTCATTGAATAGCATGGAATTAAACCTTCAGAGTATATGTTTTGTGACTGGTACCAAGAGTTGACAGATCCCACACATGAGTCACTCCTTGAAATGCAATAATCAGCTGTATTCAAATAATGTCTAATATAAATATAACCTAGAATCTGTACTCTTGAAAAAATAAAAATATGGCAAATTTGTAGTTTTTTTGCAGGTTTTATAGGTTTGTTGGTAGCTTTAAGGCATATATTTGGAAATTTCTTAATCGCTGTGAATATAGTGTGGATGTTTGTTCAGTTCCTGAACAATGAAAAATATTCAACTTTATGGATGTATGGATATCAAAAAATCTGAATGGTTTTGTGGGAATATCAATCTAAGGTGCCATAATGGTTCTGATGAACGGCAAGTAAATGAATGAATGTTTGGAAACGAGCAATATCTTTTTGTAGAGCCTGTCATCAAGTAAGTGCTTAATGGCTATCTGCAAGAGGTTTATAGGAAAAAAAAAACAGTATCGCATATCAATTGGAGAAAATAATATAAACATGAATAAAAAATCAACAATAGTAATTAAAACATGAATTTTAATCAAAAATCCAACATTTCTTTAAATTTTGACTGAATTATATGAAATTTCTTAATATTCAATAAGTTGGTGATGTTTCAATGACAAGCTGTCATCTCATACTTTGACAGTATTTTGTTTTCGACATTTCATAGCTATTGGTTGCTAAAATTTGTTGATTCGTTGTATTTGACGGAAATTGGCCCTAAAGTAAGCAAGTTTTCGTCTGTCAGATTTTTGAGAAATCGATTGCTGCACTTCTAAGCGGGACACCCTGTACAATACTACTTTTATCGTGTGCTTTCGACAGATTCCATCTCGAATCCCCCGAGGAACTCCCCGTTTCAGTCAAGTGAAACATTAAGCAGCAAGTCACGTTGTCATAAAGAACATATTTCTTAACTGGTGTACACACGACGTCAATGGCCATTATGTTAACGATTGTTTTCATATCGATATTAGGCGTTGGGATCGAAGAAAGCCGTGACACGGTTTCCCTTATAAACAAAAGACTGCAATTATATACTCTTCGACGAAAATTTAAATTCCTCGAGTCAATTTGTTAGGCAACATTCTTTCCGTCATAAAATATAACTGGCAGTACCAGTGCTGAACGCGTGTAAGTAGCGAAACCTGCCGGGTAATGACTATATTTCACCAAGATTCGATTCAAATTTGATTGTGACATTTGCCTATTTTGGAAGTGTAATATTGGTTAATTGCCCACGAGCGATGCAGTAGCACATTTTATTCTGCAACGGTCTAGGAAAACGTTTCTTTTTGAGATAATTACGTCGGATATTGAAGAGTGATATCGATATGTTAGCAACTCTTATTAATATTATGGTGACAGAATGAAGCTAGGAATGTGTAGAAAGTCGAAACTCGATAAGAAATGAAGAGTACTACACATCATTTATCGGTTCAGCTTGATTCAATTGAAACCAAACGTGCTAATAGTAATAATGTTATATGGGGCAATTTAAGATGAGAGTGGACGATTTTCACTATTACTATTTGAATTCTGTAAACGCAGGGCGATTACTTATTTAAGTAGCTTTCTAAAGTATGACAAAAATTATTTAAAATAATAAGAAGGGGTGGTGGAGCAGGCGGGATGCATTTCGTATAAATCGTTTTTTTTTTGTAAAAGTCAAAATATTAAGTTGATGATCTCGAATAAATTGGGATAAGGTAGGATATTATTATAGCATTCTTAAGAGAGACAAAAAAGTCACGCTTTTATTTTTCAAGATCGTTACCGAATGATTTAAAAGATAATGTAGCCAACTTGTGACGGGCGCAATATGATTTATTAAATTTGTCTATCTATTTGAAAAAATAATAAGAATAATTCAAATAAAAAATAAATCTGTATAATTTGAAATTTATATTTAGGTTTTTATTTAAAAAAATATATTTAACAAAATAACAATTACTTAGTAGGTAATGTATGAAATAATAATATAGACTATATTAAAAAAATAACACCAAATATACCCGTTCTAATCGGAATAGGATTCCTTGCTCGGTGCTGTGTCATTCGTTATTGTACCTAAGTCAATACCTAAATCATCATTTTCTTGCTTTTTTAAATAGTTCTGAACTGCCTCGTTGCATTTCTTATATTTTTTTGAGCTCACCTTTCTTTTTGAGGATATAAAAGGATCAGAAGTAAGTAAAAGAACACGCATGAGATCCTTATTCGTATCTGTTCTTGATCATTTTCTGGTGTGAGATAAGCGATGTTTCCTAACCTCTTTATGGCGAGCCTCAAGCGCATCCTCCGACAGTTCTCCAATGGGCAAACAAAATGCATCAATTATCTCACACCCATGAACAAGGACCTAATGTACCGTGTTTGGCATGTTGTACCACTTATAAAGGTGGATATACAAATTTCTTGCTTCTTCCAGCAATGACGCAAACTTTTCCATATCAATAGCGCAACCACTAGCTAACACTCCTAATATAAGATGATCGCAAATTTCTCGATTAATTCCCTGTCAACCCCTGTGATATCTGAACTTGTTTGTGGATTGTGGAAAAAAATTCTGACAGTATTGCCATAATTTGAGGAGCCATACCCGGGTTTTGGTTTGTCAACTATTAGAGACAGCTTGGCTCTGAACTCTGCTTGGATTCGTTTTTTGTTTGCCTCGACTATAGCTTTGTTTTTTGACAAGATTTAATTGGCAGGCGGTATCCAATCAAAAAAACGAATCCAGCAGTGTAAAGTTGACAAACCAAACCGGTAATTGTCTACGTTAGGAGGACGATTAATCCCTGCTAACGTGTTCATGTCCTTGGGTGTGGCTCCGCAAATGATGACTGCCGTCCAACATTGTTAACATCATATCAACTTCAAATATGTAAGAGTGCCCTTCTTTTGTTTTAATCTCAATAGGAATCAAATTTTCAATTTTTGTTATTATTTCCTTTTCCGTATTCCGCACTAAATCAGCATTTTTCTTTTTAAGTAAAAACTTGATCGGCCTACAATATAAAGTAGATGAAGGGCTCTCATTTTTCCACAATACCTTATTCGTTTCCATATCAATCAATCTGAGTGGCGTCATTGCTACAAGAAACAGAAATTCGTCGGTGTCTTCTAAATCAGAAAATTTCTGCCCAGAACTGCCATCAAATCCCCACTTGCATATCACTTTAATCCGGCAATCTCTCTCTTCAAAATTTATTATTTCAAGGATACTTTCAGCTGTTTTCTGTAGAAGTTCTTGCAAATCAACTTCTGCAGAAATTTCAGTAATAATAAATTGTGAAGGGAGGATAGCATTTTTTGTTTTCTGTAATTCTTTATAACTAGGAAGGCAGTTCTGGGCCTTACCATTAATAACAGACCTAAGTAGCAAACACTTTCTTACGGATATATCCAAATCTACCATAAGGGCTAAAGCTTCAGCTGTACTAAAACTAAAAATTTGTGGCGAGACCTCACTGTGATTGCTTCCAGAAACGACATTTACAGCAAATTGAAGTTCATTTGCAGATCTGTCTGTGGTTAGTTCGGCTACACGTCTTCGTTTTGTTTTCTTCGATGCCTCTTCAAATGGCACCTGTGGCCGTCCAACTGAGCGACAAGGAGGTTCTTGTTCCTCATCCGAAGATGTGTTTTCTTCAGAATCATTACTTATTCTATATATAATCTTGTCTGACCAATATACCTGATTTTGTAAAAGTCGATTCCGAGATTGTCCTACTTTCTGCCATTTTAAACCCAAACAACTGGCTGCATTTCATTATATTACTTTTAAGATGTTTGGAAGGTTCGTCTTTTATATCAATAAGAGATAATATCTTTTCATAAACCACCTGTTTTCTATTTCCTCTCGGTGCTTCTATCCACACATCAATCAAATCTCTATTTCTGACAATAGCACCATGTCCTAAAAAAAATTATATCTCCCTTAGACGTGGCATGACGTGATTTAAACTTTTTTATCAAAACTTACTATGGACAGATAAACAATAAATAAAAAAATTTTTAGGGTGATGGGAGGTGATTTTTGTGAAACTCTAAACAAAGTCAAAAGTTTAAAAATAATTAAAAAAATCGGTAATAGTCACTTTAACTTAAAAAATTATCTAATTATAATATATTTTAAATAAATCTATACATCAATATAATGTACTTACCAGCCTCATTACCAGCCATATTGGAAAAGTTAAAATATTTAAATATTTCGACACAAAATTTATATCTTTCCCGAGCAATAAAACAGAGAGATTTTTCGCCTTCTTGACAGGTCTCGACATGTCTAACTTTAAAGTTGCTAAAATAGGTAAATCGCAGCCAACTTGACTAAAGTACTATACTTACGTGTTGCAGTGACCATTTATCTATCCAATGGTATAATAAAAGCAACAGAATTCTAATGTCAAAAATTATGTTTTTGAGTAATTTTGTCCATTGGGCGCCACACTGTGCGTCGGTTGGAATTTCTTCCGAACGTTTCGCTAGCACGAGTGGCAAGCTTCTTCAGAGATCCTTCCGTTTCCGATCCTGGATGTAGGCTGACGATTTATCTTGCAGATGTGTAATAATCTTCGTGGAGAATACTTCTAAAGACAATAAAGTCATTTAAAACTACCTACCGTGTTGTTCTATTCCCATATGCAAAACTTAAAAGACATCCCTCGTATCAGCCCATCGTATGAAAAACGACATGATGCTTCGCCGAGTTATTCAGGGGTAATAATGGAAATACTAAAAAGGGTGTAGTTTAAAGGAAGCTGTACGTTATATTCTTCCTCATTTATAGAACGTATCGTCTACATGGTTCAACCTTTTTTTTTGTCTCACCGAATATCTGCTAATAGGCTTCATCAGGCCCAAACCACCCAAGCGAAATCATATGCCCATCATATCTGGATACGGGCGTAACCTAAAGTGAAGCGAGGATGGAGAGGAAAATACTATACTGTTCAAATGTATCATGATTATCTCCTTAAATATGTCTTTATACATTGTAATTTCTGAAGTTCTTCCAAGTTTTATTGTGTGCGGTAGTGTGGTGTCAATTATTTGAGAAGCGTTAGAGAGAGTATCATTTATCTACTATTAACACGCACAAGGCTCTGCCATCTGTAGGCTCGCTATATTAATAATTATAATAAAACGTCTTTGTTGGGCGAAGTTTAGCATAAGATTTTCTACCACTACAAAAACGACACATACCACCAAAAATGCATGCAATGTTGAAACATAAAAATGAATTAATTGAGCAAAATAAATCAAGATTTGATGAATATAGATAGACTATACAATGTAATGAAACTAACGCCAACTACAGAGAATAGCGACTGCTACAACCAATATAAAAATAAATTTATAGAGCTTGCAAGGCAAACCAAATGAAAACATTACCTAAATAAATTGAATAATAACTTAAATGATCCTAAGCGGCTTTGGACAACTATTGATGAGATTACTGGGAAAACAAAATTTAAAGAGTGTGTCACTGAGTTAAATACCACATCGGGAACAGTATTAAAAAATACTCAACAGATATGCGATGGATTTGTACAATTCTTTACTGACATAGGCGAAAATTTAGCAAGTAATATACAAGCAAGTGTACAAAATACTCAGCCTCCAAAAAGAACTTTGAACTCATTTATTTTGGATAAAGTCGAGCAATGTGAAGTATACACCACTGTTATGTCCTTAAAAAATCGGAAAAGTCCTGGGTTCGATGGTATTAAAAGCGAGCATTTGAAAATTATAGCCGAGAACCACTCACTTACCTAATCAACAAATGCTTTGAATCTGGCATATATCCCTCAATTTTAAAAAAAGGTAATATAATACCGATACATAAATCAGGAACAAAAATAGATGTTAACAACTATAGACCAATATCAATAATATACAGTGTAGCAAAGGTTTTTGAAAAAGTTTTATCTACTAGAATGATTCGATACCTCACAAAATTCAAAATTTTAAGTGAAAATCAATATGGATTTACAGAAGGGAAGGCTACATCGGACGCTATAACTAAAATTGTAAATCAAATACATCAAAATATTGATAACAGAATCCCTTCAATCTGCATTTTTGTTGATTTTAAGAAAGCTTTCGGCACAGTTAATCACAAATTATTATTAGAAGCATTGGAGAGAATTGGTTTCAGAGGAAACGCGTACTCACTGATCGAAAATTATTTGTCAAATCGCCCACAATCTGTGCAGATATCAGGATCATTTAGTAAAGAAATGTATATTCAGTGTGGTGTCCCACAAGGAACTGTCTTAGGTCCGCTGTTATTCAATATATATTTAAATGATATTTTCCAAATTAATTGTGTTGGCAAAATAACTAGTTTTGCAGATGATACTGCAATATTATATGAAGGTACTGACTGGTCTGATCTGAAAAATGTAATTGAAAATGATTTTATCAAAATTATTCGGTGGTTTAACAGTAGAAAATTAAGCATTAACTACTCTAAAACACATTTTTTACCATTTGGATGTAATGCTAGACATCTGCCAAATTACACAAATTTCTCCTTCAACATTAATGATCAAAAAATGCAAATTAATAGAGTGCCCAACATAAAATACCTTGGAGTGGTCTTGGATCCTCACTTACGATGGGACATCCATGTCAATTATATTTTAAAGAAAGTTAGATTTGTATCCTACAAAATTAAATACCTTGGGAATATATTGACAGAAAAATATCTTCGAACATTATACCATGCACTGATTGAGCCTCATCTCACATATGGTATATTAGCATGGGGAGCTGCATGTTCCTCACATATCTATAATCTAGATGTTTTTCAAAAAAGTATTCTAAAAATGATATTTAAAAAACCGAAACTTTATCCCACTGAAAAATTATACGCAGATGTTCGAATGTATGATATAAGACAGCTTTATTTCTTACACAGTATCACTCACTACCATAAATTTGTAAACACCGACCAAAAAATTAAACAATCATTACACCAGGTACAAAATTCGTGGCACAGTAGTTCCTCAACCGCATAAATCTATAATGCAGCGATCATATCTCTATTTAGCGCCTAAATTTTATGAAATTATACCTAAAGACTTAAAAGATTTACGTTTCGGAAATTGTTTCAAAAGAAATTTAAAAAAGTGGCTGCATTCTATATCTAGGACTGAAATTCATAAACTCATAAATACGAACATCAACAAAATACATAATCTACTGTAGCTAATTTTTGTCCTTTTTTGTCATTTGCATTTTACAGTTTCAACTTAAATTATTGGTCCATGTACAGGCGATGCCTTCTATTGGGCCTGTTTTGATTTTATATTTATTTACTCATATTGTTTGTTATCTTTGTACATTGAGTGAATAAATATTATTATTATTATTATTAGTTATAGAACGATATTAATCCATTTATTTTAAGCAGAAGCGACTGATAAATTTATGCCAATGATTACTCGAAAATTATTTTGAAATTTAAAGCGTTAGTATCAGACGGTAGAGCATTGTACATGATAGTAGCGCTATGAGTATTTTTTGTTTAATGAAGTTCTATCAGGAGAGATTGTTGTAACAGTAAAGTGGACACCTCGTGGGTGCATAGATCCTCGAAATTTCAACTTATCTTTCAAAAATGGGGCAATTGAGGTAAGTCAAAGCTTATAAAGATAACTATATTAAATGAAATTAAAATATAAATTTTTATTGACACGACACTATTTATTCGTCAAAGTACTAGTTACCATCACATTCATAGACCTTTTGCCAACATGGAACCAATTTTTGTATGCCGGTACTGTAGAACTCCCTGGATTTGGAGTGAAAAAATTGGCGGACTGCATTTATTACACCATCTTGAGTTGCGAACTGTCGGTGCCTCATACAGTTGTCAATAGACAAAGAATGGTGATAATCACTGGGCGATATGTCTGGATAATATGAAGGGTGCGGTAGCGTTTCCCAGCCCAGTTCAGAAATTTTTTCTTGGGTAACTTTTGCGGTATGAGGCTTGGTGTTATTCTTCAAGAATATCACTTTCTTCCTATTGATCAAAGAAGGCTGTTTCTGGATGGGTGCTGCTTGTACTCGTTGAAGCTGCTCACAATACAAGTTAGCAGTGACGGTTAGACACCTTTCCAAGAACTCATAATGGACAATTCCAGTCTTGGGCGTGTGTGGTACCGAATCAGTAGGCGAAAACCAATGTTACCAACGCTTAGAATTGGAATACAAGTACCATTTTTCGTCGCAGGTTGATAACCGATTCAGAAATGGTTCACTAGCGTTGCGTGAAATGTTTGCTGACCAAATGGTAAGACGACTTAATCTGTTATCATTTGTCAGTTCATTTGCCTAACTTCCACGTCTTTCCTAGCTGATGAAGTGCTAACGAATAGTTTCAGGATTCACTCTGAACATTTCTGCAAGTTCTTGGCACGTTGTCCTGGAATTTGCATCCACAACCTGTCGAAGATCCTCGTTGTTCATGATTTTTGGGCGGTTCATCGCTCAAAGTGAGATCTTCCGAAGATAATGTTTTGAACCACTTCTGTGCTGTTTGACCACTAACGGCATCATCTCCGAAAGCGGTACATATTTTTCGCGCCGTCGCTGCAGCTTTAGTACCAAGTTAGTTTAGTGAACAACTTTGAATTACTGTTTTGTTCGTCGCCGTATTCAATTAACAAAATGAGGTATGTAACAATTTTCAGCAACTTTTTATGTATATGAGAAAAGACGGATTCATACTAGAGTGACAACAGGTAACAAACAGTCGATATCGATCAACAACATCTATGGCAATGTGCGATATACAGCAACCGCACGAGCTTATTTGGTTACATGATAGATTAGGTATAGATTCTAATTTTATGAACGAGGAGGTAAGGTGCTCATATTGAAATTGCAACATGAAATTTGAATTTTTTGCAAGCGCTTGACGGATACTGAATCTAGAACCGGATGATAAACAGTGTCGCACTATGTAATTTTTGAAATAATTACTGACTCACATATAATTTTCTGTTATTGATTAAGATTCTTTCAACTGCTAACTATTATGTGTAAAACTGAATAAATACTATTATTACCAACAATCGCATCGCTTGTGAGTTTTCCATGCTTACATTTACGACCATCGCCAGTTCTTCCCCGCGCTTTCGCGGAGTAGCAAAAGCAACGAGCCAACCAGAACCGCGGATAGGTATATCTCGCACGACAGGCTGT